GTTGGATTTTGGTTGTTCAGTTTAAAAAAAAAAGAAAAGAAATTAAAGTTACAAAAACAAAAATACAACAATAATTTTTATTTTGCCACATTTACTGAACAGTATCCAGTTATCCAAAGTGCACTGTCTGATCATGAGTTACCTGTGAAACACCAATTTAAAAACCATTTTGCAGTGTGTAACAGCCAAAATACATGGGACACGGGCGCAGCAGACCGGCCACAATTCAACTGAAGCTGCTACATTGAACATGGAAGCCATGTTTGCCGTGCAGGCAAGGCGCTGCTCAGCTCTATTTTTGCTGGTCTATTTTTCCCCATCGGCTCTGTGTCCCTCCAGCTGGTAAAAACAACCTGGGCTCACTCGGAAGTCGTCAAAATCCAGCAGTTGGTCAATGACTTCCAGCGTCAGATACAGACGAAAGAAGCTGTTCTTTCATGTCGGCATGATACGTGTCCGTTAGCCATTATAGTTTAACGAAGCCAGGCTCGTGGGGCAAGAACAATAGATAAGGCGGAAAAAGTCTGAGTAGGGTGGGCAGTAGTATTTGTGAATGGGTCCAGCAACCACTGACTTTCAACTGGGAGGCCGGTGTTCGCTACTCGTGTGATTGCACTGTAAAGCCAAACCCTGTTCTTTTTTCCTAAACCCAACCACGTGCCGGTGTTGGCAAAACATAACCAAGTGTGTTTGTTCTTGAAGGAAAATCAATTTGCAGTGTTGTACCAATGTAGTCTGTTTACTTTGTCATTTTTCACATGTCCGTTTTCACAGGAATTGTACAGTTTCCTCTCGTTAGAGGCATACAGTCTTTTTCAAAATCAACTTAAAATGTTGATGAAACACCTCGTATTAACGTTTATTTCCTCGTGCAACCAAAGCACATGGTTAGGTTTGGAAAAAAACATCATGACTTGGCTCAACATTCACATCGAAAGTGAACCCCGAGCTCCTGGGTGAAAGCTTGGAGTTTGTTGGATCCATCCATCAGCCAGTGTCAGTGCCTGACACCAAAATCATTGACAAAGCTGTGGTAGTTGACGACTACTGAATGAGGAAGGACTGGTTTTCTTTGAGCTGTCAGCACCTGAGAATATGAATCATTGTGTTTTCGTTACCTTGAATGAGCTGTTTATGTCTACTTAGGGAGTAGTCTCTTACACAGACACCGATGACGTCAGCACGCTGGCTGACTCTGTCGTCTGTGGATATTCCCATAGGAAAGTTGTAATAGAGCTAGTGCTGGCTCCCAGCAGCAGTGATGTGATTGGATCCAAATCTGTGTACTTCAGTACTTCCTCGACCAACGGCTGATTGGCTTTGCCTTACACCCGCCTACACCGGAATTGCTGTTCCCTGAATTGTTGTCTGTAGTACAACAGAAAAGGAAGTGTTCAGTGCATCGCAAGAAGAGATTAAAATGGATATGATTTCATTTGATTCAGCTATACTGCAGAGCTGCAATGTCTCTGTTACATGTAACACATGTGCCGTACCTATGGCAACGCCGTCACGTCTGGATATCTCCGCCCATTTCTATTACAAAACGAAAGACAAATGTCTCCAGACTCCCATTCCGAAGTAAGGGAGGCTGGTCACACGAGACTATTTAGGGAGCAGGTCCTTGTCCACGGAGTCCACCTTGTTCACCGCCGTGTTTCTACTGTAGCCCAGAATGGACAAAGCAAATACCGACTTTCGATAGGGCTGTTTCCAGCCACTGTAGTCAGCAGCCTCTTTGGACGAGAACATGAAATTGCTGCTCAAATTGCTTGTTTCTGAGATGAAGAGACCTCTGGGGATAATTCAGCTCCTGGTTAAAACCTACTGAACAATCAACACTGGGGGAATCCAAACCAGGAGAGGCTTCAGCTGGTTGCAAACTGCAGCCCTCCCCACTAGATGCCGCTAAACTCTACAATCTAAACTTGTCATTGAAATGATTCTTTCATTAGTAAACAGACTTTTATTAACCAAATATACCTTTAGAGTCAGTAAAGGACAGGAGTTGTTTGCAGAGATTAAATTGAGCCAAACACTATTATTCAACACACAAACCGAAAAGCTCCTCAGAGCCTCCACTCTCTGCACAAGCACATGGAACACATGTCATTCAACCTAAATGTTATTCATAGGGAAGTAAGAAGTAGAATAAGTGTTTTAGTCTTACTAGGGAGGAGCACTTTTCCTTCGTAATCAAAGTATTGAATGAATCCCTCTATTTTCTTTTAATCTTCACCGTGTTTGTCACTGCTCTCCTCTCACAGCATCAGTAAAGTTCTCCTTATCACAGTTAGTGATTGTGTGGCAGACAGCTCTATTGATGGGCGGAGAATAGGAGCATGCCAGACAGCTGCTGTAATGCCATTCCAGCACTTGGGCCTTCTCACACTGAATACGACTGTCTGCGGTTTCCTTCCTCTCTCAGTCTCTCATTGGGCAGATCTGGGCAGCGAGGAGGCGATTGCCCGCTAAAATAGCCCTCATTGTTCAGAAAACTGACTAATGAATGATGCTGGGGGGTGGGGGGAGCTGGGGGGAGCTGGGGGGAGCTGGGGGTGGGTGGGAGGGGAGTTGAGGTCACACATTGTCCCCTCTTTTGGATGTTTTTCCACAGCCATCTCATGGGATGGCTGTTTGTTTGTTGAAGGCTTCGGTGCTGCTTTGTTAGTTTGCCTGTTTTGAGGTCAGTGACGCTGGGATGTTGCCCAGTCCAGGCACACACACACACACACACACACAGCTGTCCTCCATGAAAACCCAAAGGAAACTGAGACGGATGTTTCTGGAAGGCAGCGAGCAGCTTGGTTCTTGCCATTGTCTTCAGGATCACCTGTAGTCTGAGTTCCATGTTAATAGTTTGAGAGGAACGTCTCATTAGTCATCACTGACCCGTTCCTTCTTTTAAATAAGACATTCATCAATATAGTTTTCAATATAATGATAAATGACAAAAAGCCTCCTCTTGGTATTTGTTAGCAGTTTTGCATAATTCATTCTGCAGTAATTTCCCCTGGTGATACTTACTGTGTTTTCTTGTAAGAACGGCTCCATTTAAATCCAGTAAATATTCATTAATTATTCATTTATTACTGGAAACCTAATTCTCCTTATATGCTGAATTACACGTTTGCCTGCAGATATTGTCAAAGCAGGGTGAGTTTCTGGCATAACTCCACCCAGTTGCTGCATGGAGATGGGAACTAAGTCTACAGAGGGCCAAATCCGGCAACACTTGTTGTATATTGAACAATTTTATTGCGAGACCAGTGTGTTTTGGCTTGTGGCCTTCATCAGGGTGATCATCAAACATGTGACAAGCGACATCTAAATAAGCATGCAGCAGGGAGAAAGAAAAGACAGTTGTGTGCAGACATTAAAATGTTTTCAAGTTCAGCTGACTTAAAGACTCTCTTGGTGATGGTAACAAAAAATTAAAGTGTATGAACTGAAAACTGTTTATTTCCTGTATGAAATTATATTGTCCTTTCCAGAACACTTTGGCAGACACACAGGAAATTATAAGGAAACGATAAAAGTCCTGTTGTCACTGAGTTCCCGACATTTTAATTTGAAAAGAACAGCTCATACCAAATAATCAGAATTGAAAACTCAAAATATTATCAGCTCAACTCTCAGTGGGCTGTATTTAACCCAGTCACCAGAATAAATGTCGGCATTGTACATTTCTGCAAACTATGTATATGTAACATGCATACATTTCATGTCAATGCTGTGGTTAACATGTGGTTAGGTTTAAGCACAAAAAACACTCTGTTAGGGTAAGGAAAAGATCATGATTTGGCTTAAAATACATGGTTTTGGTGCCACAATCATGGCTGGAAATGCTGCTGGTGCCTTCATAAAAACAGTGGGTTTCAGTAGCATGATCATGGCTGGAAACACAGGGATGTGTCACTAAAAAACACCCAGTTTTGGTGGCAGATGCATGGCTTAAAATGCTGCCAATGTCTCACTAAAAAACACCTCATTCTGGTGGCAGAATCACAACTGGAAATGCATCAATGTGCTGCTAAAAAACACCAGGTTCTGGTCCCACAATCATGGCCTTGCTGCCTTGATGACACAATCATGGCCAGAAATACGGCAATGTGTCGGCAGAAAGCACCCAGTTTAGGTGCCACAATCAGTGCTGGAAATGCAGCAATGTGTTGCAAAACAAAACAAAAAAACCCCACTTGGTTTTGGTGCAGATGAATGGCTGGAAATGCGACCAGTGTCTCGCTTAAAAACACTGGGCTTTGGTGCCAGAATTGCAGCTGGAAATGCACAAATGTGTTAATTAAAACACTTGGTTTTTAGTACCACAATCACAGCTGGAAATGGTGCTGGTGTCTCCATAAAACAGTGGTTTTGGGAGCATACTCATGGCTGGAAATGCAGCAATGTGTTGCTAAAAAACCACTCAGTTTTGGGAGCATACTCATGGCTGGAAATGCAGCTAGTGTCTCCCTAAAAATACTCGATTGTGGTTGCACAGTTCTGGCTGGATATGTACTAATGTGTCACTAAGAAAACAATTTTGGTGACACAATCATGGCCAGAAATGCAGCAGTGCATCGCTAAAAAATACCTGGTTTTGGTTCTACAACCATGGCTGGAAATGTCCTGACCTTTCATCAAAAAAAATTCCCGATTTTGTTGTTTGTTCGTCTCAAACAGTGTTCTGCTGCTTGGCAGTTGTCCACCTGTTTCACACCATACAGCAACATCCCTTTAGAAACGCTGGTATGATCTGTATGAAATGTACAAATGTGACGTATCCATGTTTTTGCAGAAACGTATAATGCCAACATTTTGTTCTGCCGATTGGGCTGCTGTCTGAATGAGTTTAATTCAGCTTCACTGTAAACAAATACAGTCTGTAATGGCCTGAATAAAACAGTGAAATAAGAGTTAAACATATTTGCTTAATTAAACTTACTCTGGTCATGTCAGTGCGTAAGGTGGACTGTGAAAGCAACAAGAGACTCGGAGCATATGATCAATCTACTGTTTATTTTGGACTATAAATGTACCGCAGCAAAATAGATGGAAATGAAACGTCTGATTAATACAGACCAACCGAATACAAACATGTAACAGTTTACTATCCAAACTGGTCTATGTCATCTTTTACATAAACCTTTTATAACCAACCAATTATTCTACGCCTGTTAAACATGCAGAGATGAGTCATCTGTTGTCCGGGGAAATGAGAGAACTCAGCAGCAGAAACACGAGCGGTTTGTTTGATGCTCTGTGAAACAGAAATCCAACCCTCCTGCTCTCATCGATTCCCATCAGTCAGTAAAATCAGATTAGGCAGCAATCAATAAACGCTTTGACTTTCAAATGACATTCTTTGTTCTGTCTTCATGCTGTTCCCTCATGCAGAAACCTTCTCCTTAACATGCACACTGAAAAACCGAAAGAGCTTCAGCAATTAGGATAGAAGATAAAATTGTTAGTCAAATATGTCGGTGGTGAGACACCCCAGGTGAGAAGAGACTTTATGCACTGGTCAGTTTTGAGATATTGGGCTATTTTGCTTCCATAACATGTCATCTTTCAGACTAATGGAAGGAAAAATATCGAAAATACACATTAAGGTTTATTTAAGTTCAGACTTCATTTATGCAAAAAGCAGATTTAATTCAATAAAACTGCAGAAAAATTATGATACAAAAAATAATTGTGTTAATGTAAGTAATCAACTGCAGAAGTTTCATAGTGATATCTTGGTAAAAAATTTTACCCTAGTGTCTTATCTTTAGTCTGAGAATCTTTGGACTTTACAAATCGTATCTTTTAAAGGCTGTTTTCTCAAAATTAGGTTTGTTTTTTGTTTTTGACTAAACAATCTCCTCATCAGAAGTATTTAAATCCACCAAACTGCCCAGTTTTACGTCTGTATTCTGAAGGTTTAAAGATGTTTGTTCATATATCATTCATAGACTGATTTATAGAAATTTTTATTCCTGACAACATAGCAATTTTCTTTTTCTTTTTTTAATGACTGTTAACAGTATTTTCTGGTTTATGGAGTGATAAAAAAAGATCTATCCAAAATTCCCTCTGTCAAAACTTTTGACTCTAAAATGACAACAAAATGAAACACAAATTTAGAACCAGGATTATCCAATGTTTGGATTTTTGTTCAGGAAATGATGTTTTTTAATTATTAATCTGAGAGCACTGGGGGCTTAGTCTGGTCCGTTGTAGGGGGGTCTGGAAGGATCCTCCCCCATGAAATTTTCTTGATGAGCAAGCTCTATTTTGATGCTTTTTTTTAATGCATTTGGCATCTTATTAACCCTTTAAGTTTTTCCTCCAAAATTAATTAAGAATAATGATGTAATAAAACATCAGCAGTTGTTACTAATTAATATTGTGTACGAACCGAATATTTTGCAACTGCTATCATTAAAATTGAGAGAATTTTGAGGTACTTGAGTATTTCCAACACGATCTCATCCCAAGTCGTCACATATCAATGCTTTGTTAGTGGACTTTCACGTCCTAGTGGACTTTCACATGCTAGGTATCCTCCTGCGTCTGCTGTTGACGTTCTGGGATGCTGCAACCAACGTCGGGACATTAACAAATCCACATGGTTAGGTTTAGAAAAAAGAACTTTGTGGTTTGGCTCTACATCCATCCTAAAGGGACTTTCCAGGTCCTTATATTATGTTTGTTACCAGCAGCATTTCAAACTGAGGCCATCAATGGGTGTATCATACTGCTGTGACAGGTGCCAACCAGCAGCATATCATAAGACCACAAAAAGGTTCTGTCTGGCTGTGTTACAAACTGATGTCCCATGGTGGCGAATCATACTGCAGCAAAAGGTGGCTTTTGGCATTGGTGTCTGATGCCGAAATCACTGGCACGGCGGCAGAGTTTGACGACTTTGGAATGAGAATGGGCTGGTATTTTTATTTTATTCTACTTTATACTTCCACTCCACCACATCTCAGACACAAACATTGTACTTTTTACTCCACTACATTTATTTGTCTGGTTAAGTCACTTTTGAAGACTCAGATTAGAGATACAAAATATAATCAATTAAGAAATAAGGATGTGTTATTATAGATTAAACTACCAATAAACTGCACTAAATCTGCTGCTTAAAGACACAGAGGCACAAACATGCATTTTTGATTTATGACATTATTTTCGGAGGCTTTAACGCATGAATGGAATTGCAGATTATTACATCGGAGGCTTTCTGTTTTATTTTTAGGCCTATTCTTATTTTTGAAATATATGTATAACCTATATATTTAGATCCCACGATTCTAATAAAACACATTCGGGGCTGAACGCCACTGCTGTAGATAATCATCTGGGGAAGTTTCATGATGACATCTAAAAATTTTACCCTGTTCACCTGGGGTGTCTCACCTGAAGGAAATGAGGTGAGTGCTTTGTATTATTCTAGACAGACTTGGCACATTGATGGTTAGCGTCACTGGGGTGCGCACCAAGGCACGACTTTGGTTTTCATAGTGAATGCGTTAAAAGTAATTTTCCTCTGACTAACACTGATTAGATCTAAAACTCATTGTAATTAAAGTTTTCACTGCTTCTCATATTGGTTCTTCCCCTGACGACCAGGATTCACCCTCAGCTTCTGACTCATCAGAATGGACCAGCTCCTTCTCATTTCTACACAACACCTGCTTCACCTCCGAATGCGTCTGCTGCTGCTCTTTCTTGGCAGTCAGGGTTTTAGATGACTCAATATCCACCCTGGAGTTCCAGTGATCCACATTTTCTGAATCCCCCCAAACCAAACTGTCAGCAAACCCGAGATTCTGATTGGTTTGCTCAGCAGCTTCATTGCAGACATCATCTGGTTGATAGGTGGCACCAGTCTCCAAGGAGGACACCCAGAAATCACTCTTTAATCCAGAGCTAATGAAACCATGGAGGCTGTTGTCTTTGCCGTTTGTGTTCAGTAGTTCTGTTGAGTCCTTCGCCACAAAGATGTCTGTTTCATCAGGTAGACTGTCGGGGGAAATCTCATGGGGCTCCTCTTTATGTGTCATAGCGCCCTCATCTGAGCTTCTGTCATCGTGGAGACAACTTTCAGCTGCTTGAGGAACACTATCACATTTTTCATGATCTTTACCCTGATCTCTGATTTCAAAGTCCTCACTTGGGTTCTCCAGGACTTCCCATTCAGCTGTTTCTAGAACCTCTGGAAACTCTTGACTCTCTACAACATCCTCAATCAGGCGTTCTTGAGATTCACTGGAAGCTTCTACAGGTACAGCCTCTTTCACCTCAGTGGGGGCAGCCACATCCTGCAGGTTTCCCTGATCTGCTGTTACCGGCAACACAGAGTTTGCATCCTCTGAGTTGTTGATTTCTTCCATATCAGGCTTGCTGATGAAGTCAGTAAAGTCAGAGTGATCTTCTATTACATCAGGATGTGTCACCATGGACACGTTGTGGTCATCCTCTTCTTCTCTTTTCTCTGGAGCATCTGTAGCTTCTTGAACCTCATGCTGGACCTCCTCATCAGCCACAGTGTCTGACTGAGGCAATACCACGGACGGATCACTGAAACGTAGGTTGTCATGAGGTTGATCTATAATTGTCATGGAAGATGCAAGTTGGTGGTTTACTCTCACTTCAGGCTCTGCACAGGAAGACGTTCCAGTCTCTTCTTGCTCTGTCATTTCCTTGAGAAACTTGTGTTGCAGATGTTCCTCACTCTTGCTGAGCTGCTGCTGTGCAAAGAAAGCGCTGTAGTAGTCTGTAGCAAGATTTTCTAATTCCTGTTCCACAAGTCGGTCTATCTCCAACTCCTCATCGTAGGCCACATTTGTAGGTACCGTGAGTTTGGACAGTTCTTGAGTTTTTTCATCCAAATGTCCCTCTCTGACTTCTCTGATCATTTCTTCTGACTTTTCTGTATCCTTCAACAGCGTAGCCTGTTCACGAACAGTCGTAGCATCATCAACATCCCTGTCCTCAATGTTAGTATACCCTAGATTATATTCCTCATCCAACGCTTCCCCTTCCACTTCCTCACACAGATCTTCCATAGTTCCAGATCTCTTTGACTTGCTTTCACTCCACATTTCCATCTCTCCGATCTTCTTTTCCTGTTCACCTTCACTAGACTCGCTCTCATCCATGTGTGACGCCTGAGTGTTGGCGTCAGTCTCATCACTCTTGTATCGAATCAGAGGACGAGTGTCGGCAAGAGTGTTATCCTGAGCGTAGCTGTCGCTCTCCAACTCGGTCCGCCATGACATGGAGACATTTTGAGAATCCTCGTCATCCTCTTCTTGGTTGTCAGGAAGCAGCGCATGATCTTGGTCGAATGCATCATGCTGTCCATCATCTGTTGGAGTGTCCATAGTTGAAGACGCCATGTTGTTGTCTTGCTGTACATCTGTGACAAAATCCTGCTTAGTTTCTCTCTTGTCATGCTCTTGTCCTCTTGGTGATATGTCTTCCTCGGGTTCAGCATGTTGTCGTTTTTCTTCATCCTTTTTTATCCCTTCATCTGTCTTCACATCAACCTTCCTTTCTATGACACTGTCCCATGTGTCCATTTCTTCTCCATCTGGATACAACTTATCCTCAATATCCATCACGCTTGTTCCCACAACAGAATGGCTTATTTCTTGCTGTATCTCAGCTGCATCCTCCTTAATGATGTTTTCATCTTGGCTGAAGTCTGTCACTCTGTTTAACAAGCTTTCTTCAGCCTCACATTCAGTCACCGGACTGCTTGTCCTGGAATCAAAGTTTGGTTCAAGAACCGCGTCCGTTCCAGAATCTGAGGTTTCCTCTTGCACATGCTCGACCTCTTTCTCTATCCATGCTTCAGTTGGAGCTTGCAGCTCTTGCATATTATCTTTTTCTGCAGGTATTTCAGAGGACACATCCTTATCGGATTCATCACCACACTGATCCTCTGTCATTCTAACATGGTATGGTGTGAGGTTGGGCGTGGTAAACTGACGCTGATCCACTTCATCCCAGAGGGGTGGCTCAGTGCTGAGACCAGACTCGACCTGATAACTGACAACTGACTCGACAACTGGTTTATCCTCAGGAGGTTCTGCACCAGCATTGCTCCTGTCCTCTTCACCTTCTTTGTCCCCTGATGCTGTTTCAGCCTCCTGCTCGTTGGGAGGTGATAGAGGCTCAGCATAGGTGACTTTCTCCTGAACCTCCTGTGGTCTGAAATTCTCAACAGCTCCATCCTGCAGTATTTTGGGATAAGGGGTTTCCAGTGTTGTGGACTTTGTGTCATCATATGCAGGTTTCTTGGAAATCTTTGGAGTTTCAGTGAAGGTGGCAGGTTTTCTGCTCCAGCTTGGCGTTGCAGTAATCGCTGTCACACCACGATGAGATGAGAGAGAAGTGGTCTTGTGGCCAGCAAACAGCTGGGTCTGGTAATTCTTTTTAACCCCCCGAGGACTGAAAACTGCATCTGTGGAGAACAAGAGCAGAGCTCATGAATACACAATGAACTGAGCTACTGTAATAATAATGACTTGTATTGATGTCTTGAGTTTAAACCAATTTCTATATAATAATTCTGCCATATATACTGTATGCTAGATATGTGATATCCCCACACAGCGGCGATTATTATTTCAAATCATCCCTCGTACTCTTAACATGACAGAGATACTGTGGAGAACCTGCCTCCCCAAAGCATTATTAAAACATATGTTCTCAGTGGAGGCTGGACACTAATGGGGAGATATTGATCGTCATTTCCTTTCACCATCGCCTGAGTAACCGGAAAGCAAAGCCATATGGCTCAATAACCTTTGGGGACTGTCTTAGGTGGCTTGCATTACAGGACCCAAAGTGCCTACCTCAGCTTCCCTAGCCAAGCCCCCCCGCCCACCCACCCAGTTAGACTAATGCGATTACCAACTGTATCAAACGTGTCCCCACTCTGAGGGCTTTTAGTTAGACTGAGTGAAATTATACCCTCACAAAGGAGAGAGGAGATAAAGGAGAGGATTTCAGCAACATACTGCAGCAGTGAAGTCAAAAGCGCTTTTTACACAAAAATCGCACCATAGAGCTGCTACAAAGTCCCTTCTTTACACCTCCTTTGTATTTTTACACAGCACTAAACAACACCAGCATCATGCAGCTCCAGCTTGTGATTTTACACAGCATGCAGACATCACAGAAGCAAAAGCGGCAATACAACACAAAAGCATCAGTCTCTAGTGTGACAAATAACATGCGTGTTGGCAGTGCTTTCGAAGTTATAACAACAACATAACATAGCAATGACAATCATTTACCATTCCTTTTTATATAGCTGCTGATTTTGTCCTTCACTTGGAGAATAAAGGCAAATTTATACTTGTGCGTCGGCTCTATGCAAAGCCTATGCAGTAGCCTACAAACGTGGGCTATGCCGTGGTCAGCGTTTATAGGCTACTTATGCAGTGTTGTGTCTGTGCCACTCTGCAGTTACACCTCCTAATTGACTTAAAGCTTGATTGATTCAAAAGACATCTCAAACACACATTAAACATGGCTTTATGGGGTCAGTTTTAAACACAAGTGCACAAATCGGCCCCATTATAATTCGCAGCATTCACAGACAAAATACTTCTTTATCTGGACACATTTTCCCCACAAACACAACATGCTAACATTATTAGCACAACCCTACAGCATTTTCCATTGTATAAGTTAGCCTAGCGGCTCAGAGACTACTCGACTACCCGCTATTCGTATGAAGCCAGAAACAACAACAAAATTTAACAAAGGTAACGTTACAAAATTCAGCTCCATAACAACTCACAAGGTTCACTGACAAAACAACTGTCTTATATTAAACATGTCTTCTCTACAAATACAACATGCTAACATTATTAGCACAAGTCTATAGCATTTTACATTGTAAAAATGAGCTTTGTGGCTAGTGGAGTTTTTTCCACACAGGAATTAAAATGCCATTGTTTGGAGGCTTTATTGTCTTCACAGTTTATTATTTCTTATCTGTGAAATTAAAGAAAATAAAAGCTTTGTTTCTACTGAGGGAAATGGTTTCAGCTTCCAAAAATAGACAGAAGATCTGCATGGCTGCGATGCGTGGTTACATTTCTGGGGTGGTGCACATCAGGCTATGCGTCTACGCAGAGCCTACGGCATAGGTTCGACGTCAATTCAACACAAATGTAGATCAGGCTGAAGGTGCTCCCAAACCGTGTTGTTTTACCAATTTGCGGATACTTCTGAGTTAGCTGCTAACTGTCACCAGCTCCTTTGTAAATCCCCCATGGTGAGTTGCACACATAATGTCATCAAAACGTCACACCCATACCGTCAGTGGTCTTGTTCTGCCAGCTGTCCCTTTTTACATAGCCATTGTTTCGGCATTGTTTCTACCTCTGATGCTGCCGTAAAGGTGAAACAACTCTGTCCCCCATTCTGTGATTGTACCTTTCATACAGTACGGCAAGGCAACACAATGACATAGAATTCCCACCTTGAAGAGGCCCTGTAACAAGGGCTACTGACATAGTGCTGCTGTATTAATATTTTTTACTCTAATTACCTGTGATGGAAACGTTTCTTGGCTGATTTAATATAAAGATGTCTCCCCTGTGGCCTTCCCCATCCAGCAAAGCTCTGTAGAGACAGATAAAGGCAGGAGCAGGTTACTCTCTGAATACACATCATGTGAATATTGTGACGCTGAGCCATAAATGCAGACACGTTGCTGCACACAGAGCGATGGGTGGGAAGAGGAGAGGAGTGACTTTTGTTGCTCTTGAGCAGCAGGAACAGACTGAGGTCTGTTGTTATGGTAATGAAAGAAAGGGGCCGGCCATTGAGGAGCCATCTGCAGCGCACAAACCTCTGCCATCAATCCCTCACACACACACACACACAGGATGTTCATGCACACCAACACACACACTAATAGCAGATATTATGAGCAGCCCATGCAGCACTAATACCTCTGTCTCCATTCACACATGTGGAGCACACCAGTCTCCATTCCAACACATCATATAATTAGCTGCATGTCTGTGTCTGCATTCCTTATCATATGTAATTCTGAGATATAAAACATATAGGTAACAGTCTGATGTACATTGTAATTTGTCCTCTAGTTTGTCCCCCCCCCCCCTCCGGCTCCCCTCTGCTGTTATTCTAGACTCCCATAGCTGATAAATCGGAGGCTTCTGAAAAGGGTGAGGGTCAGAGTCTTGAGGAGGGGGAGAAGGAGAAAGGAGACACCACTATAGAGCTCCATAATGGATAAGTTGCTCTGTCCAAGACATCAGAGGCTGCTATTTCAATGAACTGACCTTTAGTCCAGAGGGCTGCACCCGCTGTGGACGGCTCTTTATTGTCTGCGTGTCTCACTGATGGAAGTTTGTTCGTCTACTTTTTTACCGCACAGCAGCATTAGGACGAGTTAAACTAATTGTATCAGATTTGATTTTGTTTTGATGAAACTGTCTTAATTACATTTTGTAACCTGATACTTTGGACTCTAGTTACAATAAGGCTGCAACCAAGGAAAGATAAGTTTCATTATCAGCTAATATGCTGATTATTTTCTCAATTAACTGTTTAATTGTTTAGATTTTAAAATGTCAGGAAGGTGTCAAACTAGAATTAGAATAGAACCTAGCAGTTGTATGCTTCAAGAAACCAGTCAAGCTGCAGCCACAGTTTATGTCCATTTCTGTCCAAACTCAGTTCTTCAAATATGAATGTTGCTACAAAAGAACCTACAAACATGGACCAGAACTTGGACATGGACTTGAACTAACACACTCAGATAATGCGATTGGGAGTCAAGTTACTCCTGCATCTATACAGTCAGTTGGATCCAAACTGGCCGAGGTGCCCTGCGAGTGTTCCACAGTGTCCCACCCGGGCTTTGACGAGGGAGTTGAATAGGTAATGTGTAACAGAAGAAGAAGCCGGTAACAACATGGCGAAATCTAAATCCAGAGCTGTGCAATTTTGGATGGAGCTGTAAAGTTGTCCATCATGGTACCAGTTTGCCGCTAGCTAACCGTAGCTAACTTGTTTGTTGATTGTTTGGTCTGTGACGTAATAGGTCAACTGGAAATAGAATCAGTACTAACAAGCTGAAAGGGGGCATATCTCCACCTATCGTAGAGGAGTTGCACATACTTATATGAATAAATTGATTCCCCTCCCATGCTTGTATACTGAGACAAGGCAACACATTCTTACTCAGACCTTGTCACCTATCAGCGTTTGGTTGGTTTGGGACTTTCACCGTCCAGATACAACGTGAAAGGTACCCTTAATGCGTTGGTTGTTGACGTTCTGGGACGCCGTGTCAAGTTATGTCTGTTACATGTTTTGTGTTCTTTCAAAGTACCATTCAGTTTTCCACAGGAAATTTAGAGTTTACATCCAGTCTCTTTCAAAATAAAAGCACTTCGTCGGTATAACAATGCAAATTGACGTTTTTTACCTTCAACTAACTCACATGGTTGGGTTTAGGAGAAACGAACAGGGTTTGGCTTTATAATCTTACAGGACGGGAACACCGCTCTCCCGGGCGAATGTCAGTGTTGGACCCATCCACCATCCCTCCCAGCCGCCCTGTTCGGACTTTTGCCGCCTTCATTCTTGTCTTGCTGCTTTCCCCCTTGACGCTGCTGAGTGCTGTTAAACTATAACAGAGACCAGCTGCATATCATGCCAGCGTTAAAGGATGGCTTTTTTTCATCTGCATCTGATGCTGCAAGTCACTGTTCAAGTGTGGGATTTCAATGACTTCGGAGTGAGACCAGGTTGGACAAGGACAGTAGTCCAATTAAACGTGACCTTGACCTTTGATCACCAAAATCTAATCTGTTTATCGGTGAGTCCAAATGAATGTTTGTGCTACATTTAAGGAAATTCCCTCAGTGCCCCCCTGAGACATTGCATCCATGATGATGAGACAGAGACAAGGTCACAGTGACAAAAGTCTGTCGCAATTTTCTGAAGCTCAACATCCTGTCTTCAGATTGCTTATTTTGTTCGACCCACAGTCCAGAATCCAAAGATGTTCAGTTTATTATCATATAAGACAAAGAAAAGGTGCAAATCCTCCCGTTTGAGAAGCTTGACTACTAATGATTAACTAACTCTCAGATACAATGGTAGAGATGAATGTTTCTTGAACAAGTTGGATGTGTTCTCTCCAAAAATCCAAATATGAGTAATAAAGAGGAGCTAAGCATTAAGGATGTTCATGTGACCATAATAAGATAATAATTCTCTTTATACTACTTATAAAGACAAAAATTTGATCTAGGATAACTCGTGATTTAGTCAACTCCCGTGACGTTGTGAGGAGAGTTGTGAGTGAGGCAGCTTTTAACAAACATCAAAAATATGTTGCATTGAATGCAACATTGATCCCACACCTGTCTGACATCAAACAGGTGAGCTCCTCAGATCATCCGCCCCGGTGAAGTTTGAATGTTTTTGCACTGCAGTGTGGCGCACCACCTTTCTCCTCTTTTACAGGGATGTGACTGTGACACCTCATGAAAGCCAACTTATCATTAAAAGTCAGAACAGAAAGTTTATCTCCATCAGTGCTCCATCTGCTGATTCATTTTATACGACAATGATCAAAACAACAGGCATATCATAATGGCTACTTTTCACCCACTGATCAGAGTATCTATGATGGAGAGAAGAGGAGCGGGATTCAAAGCTGATATGTTGGAGCAGTCAATACCTGAATAAATCAAACATGAACTCTGTGCGTCTGTTCCCCTGAGACGAAGAAAACATAAAGAGAAATATGTTTGTAACTGTGAAAGGATGAACTGTGTACACCTATGAGACTCGACTTTCCCCCAATACAGTACACTGCAATACAGAGACGTAATAGTAAAATAAATCAATGTGAGGTGAAGATGTCATAAGCTTGTTCTGATACAGTAGAAAATACAACTCCTAACAATCACTAATGGTGTGACAAATAATATCATGATGTAGTATGTGTGATATGTCATGAATACTCTGGCACCAATAATGTTTTGTCTTGTGTTACTGAAGCACGGTGCTTTATTTCTTCAGGGTTGGTTTTAAAATGCTGCATGTGGGAATATTTCAGTGTGTTTGTTACAGAGGCTGAGACTCTGTGCTCTTTGCTGCACATTGTTTCTTCTTAGTTGTGCATAAATCTAAGAGAATAAATGCAACATATGTACTGATTCTACCTTTGTCTAAAATTGCTTTTACATTTTTAGGAGTGCTGTTTATTTCCCATTCCTGTAAAACTCCTATCAAAAACGCCAAAACGCCTATCCAAGGCTTATTCAAAGTAAACTGAAGGCTGTTCTTGAACCATTTGCAGTGCATGCACATGCATGGTCTCATCTGAAAGGAAGCACTCTGAAGTTTTTTCCCCAGCAGTCAGAATCACTGTAACTGTGTCTGTCATTGAGATATAGATGTCTGAACACACTAAAGTTGAAGCCTTTTTTTTATTTTTTATCTGCAGAACTGGTCGGTATTAACTGTAAAACACAATGAGACCATACCATGAGGCCTCACACTGTCCGAATTCAAAGTAGATAGCAATATCACAGAAAATAAACATTTTACACGTTTTTCTAAGGTTTTGTCCAGGCGATCTCCATTAAAAGAGGGTGAAATGATGTACTGAATGTGTGATTATGAGTGAAAAACAAATCAACAAAGACAAATTTATCTATTCAGAACCTTATACTAAATTATTTTAGAACATTTGTATTAATAAGAGACTGGATTTTTCCTTTAAAACAATAAAAGAACCCTGTATTTATTTACATTTATAACTGTCTATGTTGGAAAAAACTGCCCGAAATTTCTATCTTCAGGTTGAGAGTTTCATTGGAGATAAGAAGCGTCAGTCATCGGAGCAACTGCTTGCTATTGGCTGGCTCAATAGACCGAAAACAGAGGCAGGCCCTTCCTTTGCCTCTTATTGGCTATTGTAGGCTGTGGAGCGGACATGGAAGCTCCTATTGGCTCAATTGAGGTGTCAATGAAAAGGTCAGAGTTCAGCAGCCATTTTAATGCTGAGATATCTGTTGTGTTTGCATGTAAACTGGAGATGTTGTGGACATTATGTGCAGAGATCAGAACATTTGAAATGATGCATCTGCAGTCTGTGGATATCTACAGATGTAATAATGTGTTTGGACTAAATATCTCACTGAATTTGGATCGTCTGGACCTTTGAGAGTGTATCAGGACCATTTCTGTGAGAATATTATCGATCTGTGGATCATGACAAGGTTTCATAGGTGAGTTATAACTGTTTGTTTGTTTGTTAGTGCTCTGACAGAAGCGTTTATTAAACCTGCTGTGGTGGTTGTGTCCTGAAATACTCTGCATCAATCGAATCGCAAGAATCTTAGCTTTCTAACGAAATATCCTATGAGTAACCACTTAAACACAGCAGTTGTTTACATATCATAATGCTTTAATAAACCACACTGGATTGTTAAAAGGACTTTTTCCTCTTTATTTTTTAACTTTGGACAGAGCCAGGCTAACGGTTTGTACAATGCTAAGCTAAGCTAAAAATGTCCCATCTCCAGCTCCATACTCCATAAACAGACTTAAGATTGATCTTTTCTTAGTATTGATCAGTGACTGATCAGCTCTAGATCCATATGTGTGATTATAAATGTACAAGGGGGTAAAGATGGAGACCGATTGGCTGCGGGACATTGCCCTTTGCCCTTGGAAAACACCCTGGGGGAGCAGTAATGGTTTCAGTTTCCATCTATGCTCTCATTTTGTGTCACCGCATTGGAGGGAACATTAGCTAGCCATGTTTGTCTCGAGATGATGTGTCCTGATTGGCGTGCTGATAGCTGGTCACTGCATTTTAATCTGAAGCTTTTTATTTGTGTGAATTCTCGAACGCATTTCGAAATATCCAAAGAAATCATTTTTAATTTAATCTAACTGACTGGCAGTACCTCTGTCGCCCACTAAATGGCACTGTGAGAATCGCTGCTCTGGGAATCACATTTCCTTGACCTATAACAGCAGCTGACAGTGTACCTGTATGTCGCCACCTCCAGACCCAGAGACGTCTTCTGCTGCAGCAGGCCTCGGTTCTCCAGGGTGATGTGGTCGATCTGCTGGCCCAGCTCCTCTTTCTCCGCCTCCAGGCCCTCTAAGTGCTCCTGCCAAAACAGGACATGAAACAGGAAAAGGAAGCAGTTAAAAAAAGCCACAGAGAGCATTCTCACAGTGAGTATATTGGGGAAACATTCTTTCTGCAACTGTTTATGGGTTGTTGAGAAAACATTACACACATATTTTTACTGCAAGGATCAAAAATGACAGTAATGCTGTTAAAACAGTTGCACTTTGAGTTGTTCATGCAGCAGTGTTATAGTCATCCAGGACCACACTGGGAGAAGGTAACATTGTCTTTTACTTGTTTAATTTGGGTGTTTCACCCCTCAGACCTCACTGTGACCCAGAACTAATCCCAACAGCCCCAGCCTATAAATATGTAGCCCCCCAGTCCCCTTCAGACCCGAATGTTTTCACTCCATCAGAATATTAAATTAGCATACTGAGGGAGGAAAGCCCCGAGGGGTGGACTCACAAATGCTCCTTAAAGCCTTCAGTGGGACATCTGGCACATCACTAAAGATCCTGAATATTCGCCAGGTTAAGAGATATAAAAAATATATGTCACATGTTCATGACAGTGAAAAGAAAAAGATCTGGTGATTAAGCATCTTTTTAAAACTTTTACGTGTAATAATAGATGTGACTAAACTCCAGTTTGCCTCACTGACTGAAGACATGTGAAGCTGATTATCAGCTGGTCACATTCCCCTGTGGTTTGTCACTTCTTTATTTCACACTGTGTCTATTTGTGAAGCTACGACAGAGATATCAAACGCTGTGAGAGATTGCACTTTTCATGAGTAACAGCCGACGACCTTGTGAGGACTGTTTTCACACAACAGAAGTTCCCAATTTGCAACAACTTTTCCTCTCTCACAGCTTCTCTAGTAACATCTAAAAAGCATTTATTCAAACAGCAGGACTTTTGTTTTGAAAATCTGTCTCCTTCATATTATTGATGGACTGACTGACAGAGCCTGACTGATAAATCGATTAGCGATATTGGCCTATTACAGATATATCTGTGTTTATGTTGTCTGATATGCATCAGTATGAAAACTTTTTTTGTTTGTTTTTTACAGAATGTAATGCAGAAAATGGTTCTTGGGATAATTTATAATTATTAAACCACCAGTGAAATTTACTGTTTTAGCACACTGATGACATTTTTAACAGTAAAGTTTATTGTTGTACTGTAAAATTTCCATCATAATCTATTGTTAAACTGTAAATGTATTATTGAATTTTAAAATTCAACTCTAAATTTATGGTTAAACTTTACATTTTTTATTATAATTTATTGTTGAACTTTAAAGTTTTATTATTACTTATTGTTAAACTGCAAATTAATTGTAAAAATTAAAAAAAAGTATCAATTTATTATGGAACTGTAATTTTATTATTAAACTTTAAAAGTTTTATTCTAATTTATTGTCAAACTGTAAAAAATGTTATTTTTAATGTTAATTAAACTGTCACATTTTTATGATAATTTATTGTTAAATTTTTTATTTTTTTATTAGAATTTATTTTAAACTCTAGCATCTGTTTGGCTCTAGCTGATGATTATTGTCAGAAAAGGAATCAAAGGTGAGCATCATTTAATCCATTTATCAAACATGACAACTTTCAGTTGTGATGAGAGTTTTTCATATTTGATATTTTATATGTAATAAACATCTGTCAACTTTAAAAAGAATCTCAATTATGAAATTACTTGTGCTGCCAAAGACAAAGTTAAAGTCTGGAGCCCACACTTTATAACAGCAAGTTAACAGCCACAGTGAAATGGATCTGTGGGTGTGGGTCTCTCACCTGGAGCTGCTGGATCTCCCGGCTGTATCTGTCTCCCTGTTGGGCTGCAGTCTTCTCCAGATGCCGCCTGACGTCATGAGCTGAGGCGATCTCCTTCTCCAGCACTTGGAGCTTCAGCTGGCTCTCGCTCTTCTCCTGATTCAGTTGGGTTAAACGGCCCCTGGCCTGGTTAAGTGACTCCTCCAGCCGATCTAACTGCCCCTGATGGGCCTCTGCTGCCTCCTGCCATGCCCTGTTGGCCGCCTGGGAGTACTCCTGTCCCAGCTGTAGGAGGTTTGGTATCTGGTTGCCCCTTTGAGCCCATGTAGGTGGCATTGTGGCTCTGGAGTGGTTCAATGTGGCCTCCAAGTGGGCGACGTCCTCCTGATGGGTTTGAGTTAGGTGCCTCATCTCATTCTCCAGCTGACTGACCTTCTCCCTCAGCCACATCTGAGCCCTCTGTTCCTCCTCCAGCTCCTTCTTGCTCTGCTCTATCTTCTTCTTGGCCTGCATATGGGCCTGAGCCTCCCTCTGCCTCAGCAGGTCCAGGGCCTGGAGCTCCTCTGCCACCTTGCAGACCTCCATCTCTGTGAGGACCCTGTCCCTCCAGGCTGCGTCCACCTCTAGTCTCACCTGACGCAGCTCTTCCTTTAGGCCCTTCCTCCGTGTCGAGGCTCCATGATTGCTGTGTCTCAGAGCTTGGATCTCTTCTGCAAGCAGCGCATTCTCCTCCTCCAGGTTTTTGACCCGGCTCAGGTATGTCTCCAGGCGTCGGTTCAGGTTCAGCATCTGGTGCTTCTCCTCGCCCAGGTGGCTGTGGTGGAAGGTTTTATGTAGACTGTGGAGCTCCATGTCGGTGTAATAAAACAGAGATTTGGCAAACGGAGGCCTCACTCAGAGGTGCACTGATTATGATTTGGCAGCCAAGTGTATCTCCGTGTCCAGGCCCGACTCTGTGTGTGTGTGGGGGGTTTCTGTGAGAGTGAAGCTCCTGTGAGGCTCTGGGAGTGTGGCTGCCAGCAAGAGGCTTTCCTTTCATACTGGAGTTAATGAAGGGGCCGGGCACATGGACAGGAGAGGAGGAGGGATGGAGAGGGAGGAGACTGAAGGCCACAGAGGGAGGGGATGAGGAGATGAGGGAGGATGGAGGGGTGGAGGGGTGGAGAAGGAGGGCTGGGGGAGATGGGAAAGGGCAGAGAAAGGCAATGATGTCATTTCCAAGGTTAACTCTTTCACCACTGGCACTTTTTCCCAGCTGAGAAAAAAAAACCTTTTAAAGAGACTCAAACAGGCAGAAAGGTGCTGTAATCATATCAAAACCAGTTTAATCCACCCAAATTCTCATGTTTCTATTATCATGATGCCATAAAGGCAAAAAATCCCTATAAAATACTAAGAGTTGTTTTAGGCTCAGTGTGTAAGATTTAGGAGGATTTAGTGGCATCTAGTGGTGAGGATTGCACATTGCAACCAGCTAAAACTTATCCCGGTTTGAATTCCTTTCCTAATCAACTTGTACTATTTCCATTGTGATGATGTCACACATTTTGAAATCACTCCTCTTGGCTCTAGGGAAGTTTTACAAGTATAAACCCTCCATGGATAAGAAATAATAGTCATAATTTACCTTGTTTGCAGTTTGAGCTGTCCTGTCAATAGTTTTATCTTTTTTATAATACTGGTCTATGGGGGAAATACTTTTTGGGCTGCAGGGATCTTTTTGCTGCAATACTGCAAGTAGCCACTGGAAAAAATTTGCAAGGCTGAGCGGGTTTCTACGGGAACATACCTATTTAACTATATTATACTGACGCTCATGCCGACAAGAAGTCCAGTGTAGTTTTTTAATCCACAAAACTCGTTCGGGGTATCGGAGGATAACAGCTAGCCTGAATAACAGCTACACTTGAAGTGTATGGAACCCACATTTTGAAAATGTAATAGAACTCTGCTAATGCATTTCAAAAATGTCAGAACGGCTCGTCCATCATAATCCAAGTGCCCTGAAGCCACGGCATACAAAACTGACTTGAAAAGACATAATTTACTCCACTTTTAAAGCATCATTTCTCACCGTGGTTACATGGCAACTCATGCGAGACTCGAGAACTAGCACCAGCACTAGCCTTCAGCTAGTCTCGCACGAGTTGCCATGTAACCACGGTAAGAAATGATGCTATTAAAGTGGAGTAAATTACGTTTTTTCAAGTCAATTTTGTATGCCGTGGCTTCAGGGCACTTGGATTACGACGGACGAGCCGTTCTGACGTTTTTGAAATGCATTAGCTGAGTTTTATTACATTTTCAAAATCTGGGTTCCATGCACTTCAAGTGTAGCTGTTATTCCGGCTAGCTGTTATCCTAAGTACTGTCTGTATTTTCATTCTAAAGTGGCCATTTCCTTTAATTTCTGCCCTAATCATTCATACATACCGGACCTTTAAGAATGAACAGAAATGAAGGTGATTAAAAAACAGGAATACACAAGCGATCAAGACGTTTGAGCTCAAGGTGGAAATTGATAAGTACTTGAGGGAGGCAGAGAGCATGACATGTTTGGTAAAAGACAGTCAGAGATGTATTTTAATCCTAAAACAGCAGGAATTTAAGCTCTATTTGGAGGCCAGTGCAGAAATGTGAAAAATAGTGGGATGTGTTCACTTTTGTTTGTCTTTGTTAGGACTACAGCAGCAGCAGTCTGAATGAGCTGTTGCCTGAGAGTTCTTTTGGAGGAGACCTGAGGGGGGGAAAAGGGGGACAAGTGAAACTGACCATCTAATTGAGGAAAGTAACCATTTACTAACAATTTACACAACATCAAAGTTTCAAACATCTTCTTGAAAGTTACATTCGGCGGCAGAAAAAATAAAGTAACAGTGACTTTATAAACATAAGGTAAAAATTAATGAAATGAAGGAAAATGATCTTCTGCTCTAACATGACAAAACCAACATGGATAAAGATGGATTTTTTTTTTATAATCATATGGTATGAAAGTTCAGCCTGACACAGAACTGATAACATAAAGTGTTAAAAAAGGAAGCAAACATTTTTCTTGTAACTTGAGGTCACTAAGCTCATGAGCTGCGCACCAGACCGCACAAGGAAATTCTGTCTACATTAATTTCGAAAGATTTCAACTGTTCTGCATTTTTGGAAACTTTTTTTTTTTTAATAGAAAATTCAGTTAATAAATAAACCAAATCATGCCAAGTGTGAGCTCTTCCTCTGAATTCCAAAACCTTATAAACAACCAACACCCAGCAGACTGGGCACAACTCACAGTATCAGCTGGAAATGTATCTGCACAATGATAATGATAAAACCTTCATGAACAGTCTCATATGTTTTACAGGCATTGCACTGTTAAGTGTGAAACTCAGTGATGCTGGGAACAGCTTGGCCCCTTTATCTCCATCTAGTGGGCATCTCTCAATACTACAACAGCCTACTGTTACCCAGTATGACAAGGTGACACCACTGACTGACGAGGCATCAGATTAAATGTTAAATAAAAGCTACACAACGCAGCAGTGATCTGATGTTGCTTTATTACTTGTGTTTTTAATGCGTGAGTTACAGTTGTTCAGAGAGGAAGAGATTAAAATATTTAGTTTCAAGGAAGCCTAATAGTTGTGAGCAAACAGATCTGAAACCTTCAGATCTGCCATAACACATTTAGCAGCTAACATGACTTTAGGAAGTCTTGCTGCTGAGCTGCTGATTATATCTGAATGTGCCTCAGTGAAATACCAGTCTGGAAACTTCCTCTACCTATCTCTCATAAAGTTAGGAAGTTCCCTTTTTTGTTTTATTGTAAAGCAGTATAACTCCGGTGATGCTCTATTCACTGTTCATTGGTTTGGCATTTAGATGAAAATTGAAAATACTGTATAAAATGATAGAGGCTTATACTAAGTTTGAGTATGAAAATGTTTGCAGCAGCCAACCAGAAACATTCATTAGCTGTACTGTACGTAAGAGGTGCAGACGCTCCAGTGTTGGTCTAACCAAACTGAAAATGATGTATTCATTTTATCTGTCACATATTCAGTGATCATCAGCAGCACTCGCACTGAGGAATTAATGTTTCAAGGGCCGTATTTACAAAACTTCCTCGAACAAAGAGCTGCTCCTAGTAATGACATTCTAAGAAAATTCTTAGGGTTGTGACATTTTCTCAGAATTCCCCCTTAAAGTTAAGACTAGGTCCTGGTAAAGACGAAAGTTATTCAAAGAGAATCTTAGACATTAAGGGGGCTCCGAAGGTGAAAGGCTCTTGGGAGGAGGACTTTTAGGAGGTTTAAGGGTTTCTTAAGCAGAGGAGAGACGTGCAGGTTGATTGGTGACTTTAAATTGGCCATAGGTGTGAATGTGAGCTCGTCAGCCCTACAAGTCTGGCAGCCTGTCCAGGATGTACCCTGCTTCTCGCCCAGTGTCAGCTGTGATAGGCTGCAGCCCCCCTGTGACCCCCAGCAGGAGAAGCAGTGACAGATGAATTGTGTTAGGCGGTAAATGTGTGTGTATCCCTCATGAGATCAAGCACACATACTATCCCTGCACAATCTGATCTGTGGCGTTTAATTTACTTTGAAGAATATTTCTCCAACCTCTCCTCTGATTAAGAAACTCTTTAAAGTCCTCCTCCCTATACTCCCTAACAGCTTTTCACCTTAGGAGCTCTCTTGAGGTCTAAGATGCTTTGTAAATAACTACAAATAAATAAATAAGAGTTTTCTTAGAATTTCATAGGAGCAAGCTTTGTGAACACGGCCCCAGGTCTATTGAATATGAACTCTGAAGCTGAAAAAAAAAGGAGACGTATGTTACACACACTGTAAACTGGACTTCGTTTTAAAGGATAACTTCGGTATTTTTCAACCTGGGCCCTATTTCCCCATGTGTATGTGTGCGTATGATTCATAGGTACAACTCGTTCTAAAATTGGTTCAGTATTGAGGGAGGCGGATGCAGCCAGGAGCCGCGAAACGAGCTAAAACGGTAACAGGGGCAAATGGGTCCCGTATAAGTTTGCACATTTAAAGTGCTTTTTTCCGCCACTGACCGGTTCAGATCGCCAGTGCTATCTCTGTAAATAGCATACTTAGCATTTCCCTTACCTCTGGGCTGTGTGATGTCATCTCGCGAGAGCTTTGCTCCACTGTGTCTGTAGCTCTCTCTACTTGTGGGACAGCTGTTTTCTTGAGGAAGAGGTGTTTCGGGATTGGATGTCTTCTCTTCTTCTTTGGCTGGCAGTAGTCATCTTGGGAGAAGTGAGCACTGCAGACCCGATGGTCTGCAAGGCGCAGTGTCTGGACAGGAGTGTTAGCATCCATTTGTAGCACAACTAGCCACAACTTCAGCATCTCGCTGTCCGACAAAGGCAGCCTATGAAAGCTGTACGGGGTGTTGCGCGACATCCTGTTCTTGCAATTCGGATAAGCACAAACATGAACCATTGTTTTCAATCGATGCAGTAAAACTCTCAACTGTACTCCGGGACAACCAGCGCCACTCTGAGCGGCGCTCAGCATGGCTCCTCTGTTTTCTTCTGGCAACAAGCAAAGCTCTCGCGAGATGACGTCACAGCCCAGAGCAAGTGAAGCGTCAGGGAAACGCTTAGTATGCTATTTACAGAGATAGCACTGGCGATCTGAACCGGTCAGTGGCGAAAAAAAGCACTTTTAATGCGCAAACTTATACGGGACGCATTTGCCCTTTTTACCTTTTTAGCTCGTTTCTCGGCTTCTTGCTGCATCTGCCTCCCTCAATACTGAACCAATTTTAGAACGAGTTGTACCTATGAATCATACGCACATACACATAGGGAAATAGGGCCCAGGTTGGAAAATACCGAAGTTATCCTTTAAATGACATTTTTACAGGGGCGCACCGTCAGGAACCAGGTAAACTAGGCTAATGTTTGGAGCCCACCAGAAATATGTGGGGAAAGAGGCCCCAGATGGCCACTCATATTGGAATATTTTGGCATATAAACCCCCGTAAATCTCCAATGAAGGCAGCATACAGTGAACCATCACTGCTGCAAACCCCACCTAAGTGGAGCCTCTCCTAGCTACCGTATGTCAGCTGAATACTGTTGGGACAGTCAGCTAGTCACCTGTTAGTGTCATACATACACCATTATGTGGAATCATCAGCGTGATGAGTCAAGCAAACCTTTCTGGTCACCAGAGACGAAAGAAAAAAACAAGAAGAGGAGGACATGCGACACCAGGACAGTGGTACGTGGATATAATGCTGATAAATGAATACAGATGTGCTAACATTAGCTAGCAAAGGAACGTGTCAGTTTATCGCAGTAAGTAGGGGGGTCGGGGTCCCTCAAAAACTGTACTGTTGATAGATTCCATTTCAGTGTGTAACTGAGGCCTGAAGTGTCAGGTAGGGTCGACCTTACTCTCCTTCATCTGATTCTGTTACAGATGGCACAGGGAAAGGGAGATCTGTGAGAAGAGAGGCTGGATCATGGGGAGTACCACCAGTTGGTCCAGGAGCTTCTCCTCCATCATGGACGTTTCCAGACATATTTTAGGATGACTCAGGGGCAGTTTGACAACGTGCTGTCTATCGTTGGGCCATATAGCTCTCCAACAACCACTACCTCCAGTTTCTCCTCCATTGTTCATCAACTGTAAACTTGTCATGACCACCACAGAAGGCCCGCCTCTCAAAATATCTGACTGGACAATGGGGAAAAAAGATGATGAAAAAGAGATGACGTGAGGTGCTTCTTCTCTACTCCGAGCACTACATAGTCTACATGGCTGTTTCTCTGGGATAATGTGATCACTTAGGGAAAAGGCTTTGTGAGGAAATGCAGCTGTGGGTTTAAAAGAGGACTGAGGGGACGGACTTTAAAGGAGGAGCTTTAAAAGAGTTTTCATATTCCCTCCAGGTCGCCTCTCACACGGATGATTAAAAGTCTGATTTTCTCTTCGTTCTTATGAGCTTATGATTTATGTGCTTTGGCTTATTATGTAACAATAAAAATTATGGATTTTTTTTGTGTGGTCCGATTTCAAATCACCATTTGCAATGCATCCAGACTGTTGCGTAATAATTTCTGTTTTCTGTTGTTTTCAGGGAAACTTGCTGTGTTTTCTCTCATTTCTCTTTGTGAAAGTGTTTAAAAACAATTAGCATTACATCTGAAATATCTTAAACCATTTATGACACTATCCTCTGCTTTTATAGCAATTGGATTGAGATGCCACCAGTGTTCAGGTGAAACCTGCACAAACGCACTAACTTGTCCTCCCAGCTTTGACCGATGTGCCACTGTAGAAGTGGACGGTGAGTTGTTCTTCCACAACTAATGTTAAGTATTTAAATCAATTATCTATCAAGCTTACGGCTATATTACTGTACTAAATGCCTGGTGTCTTTTATTGCTTTTATTATTGTTGAAACTGACTTTTTTTCCCCCATCCTGTATTGCAGGCGTCAACGCCAAGAGCTGCTTTTTCAGTTCTGTTTGTATTAGTCCCATACAGTGCTGTGAGACGGACTTATGTAACAGTGGCCAGGCTGATGAAGATGGCACCAAACCCACTGGTTCCACCCCCAAACCCACTGGTTTCACCCCCAAACCCACTGTTTCCACCCCCCAGCCCACTGGTTCCACCCCCAAACCCACTGGTTTCACCCCCCAGCCCACTGGTTCTACACCTAAACCCCCTGGTTCCATCCCCAAACCCATTGGTTTCACCCCTTAACCCACTGGTCCCACCCTTTATCCACTGGTTCCAGCAAAATACCCCCTGGTTCCACTCCCAAACCCATTGGTTTCACCCCCCAGCCCACTGGTTCTACACCTAAACCTTCTGGTTCCACCCCCAAACCCACAGGTTCCAGCAAAACACCCCCTGGTTCCATCCCCAAACCCATTGGTTTCACCCCCCAACCCCCTGGTTTCACCCCCTAACCCACTGAAACCCTCTTGTGCCAACTACAAACCCTCTGGTTTCGCCCCCTAACCTCCTGGTACCATCAACATACCCACTGGTCCCACCCTTTATCCACTGGTTCCAGCAAAACACCCCCTGGTTCCA